TATCAAAGTGTTTTTGTACGGTTTTTGGTAACGGAGAAAATTCAAAAAATTGTAAATGAAAAATTCCCATGTTATTCTTATGGAGAATATTGAAAATGTAGTTTGTTTGTTTATGGATATATTTTGATCAAACTTGGCAAATTTATTTATTTTATACTAAGCTATTAATATTTTACTAAAACACACATTATTAGTTTTAGTTTCCTTGTGGCAGCAAACCTAGGTACTCGTTAAACCTAATGTTAATTAAATAGATTTAATTGAAAATCATTCAGATGGAAATTGGCTTAGTCGACAGGTTTGCTGCGGCGGGGGTATTTTTATATCTATTTAAATCCTGTTCGTTCTTTAGGGAAGGAGGAAGGTTATTATAAAACTTAACAAACACCTCTTCATTTCAAAATGTTGTCGTGTTCAAAGTATCTTTGGACTTCTGCAGGCATGATGGGCTGGAGATTATGGTGGAGTTGGACCAATCTTCTACTCGACCAGAAATACCTACAGTTGTCAATAGAGACGTCTCTTTGAAGCGGTTACAAGAAATTAAATCTACTTTACTACAAATTGACTGGCTGCCTCTGTTAAACTTTGGTAATTTACCTTCTGAGGACTTATTTAATGTTTTTTTCTACACTCTACTGGATGTTTTTTACATGAGCTGCCCAGAGAAAATAGTAAGGAAGAAGAAAAAAATTTTAGTGGTGCAGGAAAATCTTGGTACACAGACTTGAGAAAAATGAAAGAAAGGACCATTGCCTATCGTACAATGCTTCAAGCTTCTCCTAGTGAGGCGGAACTTAAGGCATACATTTGTAGTCGGAAAATCTACAAATTGGCAGTCAACCAGGCAAAAATGGATGCAAACGACAGATCCATCGAGTCCGCTTCCAACAAATGCCGAGCAGCTTGGAACATCATCAAGAAGAGCACAACCAACAATGCTCCGGATGTCGAAGTGGAAATTTCCCCTGAGGAGTTTAACAACTTCTTCATCAGCTCTGTGTTCGGCCTATTGGGTTACATAATCCGTTATATTCTGAGTGCAATATTGCTTCCTTTGGTGTTGTGTATCAATGCGATATTTAGAGAGGGAGTTTTCCCAGAAGCGCTGAAAATAGAACGAATGGTTCCTATTCACAAAAAGGATAGCAAAAATTATGTCAAGAATTTTCGGCAGTGTCATTGGTGCCTATTTTAGTAAATTAATTGAACGGATTATAAAGCACCAGGTATGTACACACTTTGATACTCAAGCTTTTTTCTGCATGTAAGTTTGGTTTTCTGAGTGGAAGGTCAACTACGGATGCCATTGATTGCTTTGTTTCTATGATTTTGGAAGCTTTTGAGGGAAGGAGTCTTGCTCAGGTGACCGCATGTGATATGAGCAAGGCTTTTGATTTTGTTGATCATGGTCTCTTGCTGTGTATACTGGAGCACTAAGGCATCCGTGGTTGTCCTCTACAATTTTTTAAGTCTTATTTAAGTGGTTGTTCACAGTTTGTTGATGCAAAGGGTGTGCATTCCAGGTGCATTGAAGTTAAAACTGGGGTTCCCCAAGGCTCGGTCCTGGGCCCCCTACTCTTTTTAGTTTCTGTCAATTATTTGCCACTCAGTACCGGTATTGAAGGTTCTCAAACCACAATGTTTGCAGATGATACAAAGTTCCTAACTGTTCAGTGAAGTTGGGAAAGTTAGTCAAAATTTCTAACTAGTTAGAAGTTAGAAGTTAGTCCCATAAAAAGTAACTGATAGAAGTTACTAGTTAGTTAGTTTAAAAAGTAACTGATAGAAGTTATTAGTTAATTGAAAAACTAACTGATAGAAAATAAAGTTAGTTTTCGACATTTGTAGAAGATAGCTGTTTGTTGGACGGTTGTTATAAAGGATTTCATATGTAATGAAATAATGACAGATCTTGGTTACTAATTATTGTGTTTTAGTTAAATATTAATTAAACATAGTCACATTTACATTACATTTAATGTAAAAACATTCATTACTACAACAAAATTTACTTTAAATGCCTATTAAACTTTAAAAGAAGTTGTTTTTCAAAATTGGTGTCGCTGATTCTTCCTCGTCTGTTACTCTGTTAGTGATGACTAGGCTTGCTGCTCTGAACAGGCGTTCGCAGTGAACAAAGGTGTTTTTAATTTGTATTTGTAGATTTATATTTGTAGTTATCTTATTATAATGTATTTGTTTCATGACTAGTGAATATTTTGTTAGTAAATTTATGTAAATTTATAACTAAATAATGATTTACACATTAGTTTGCCGTGAGTGAATACTGAAGCAATGTTAGTGTGGTAGTCAGGTACACATCGGCAACGTCGCAGATTCGCACGTGCTCCCGCCCGGCTGGGAAATATCGTACAAACAACAGGCGGCCCGCTACCAGTCACGGGAGAAATTTTTGTCTACAAATATAAATCTGTTTAAAAACCACCTTTGTTCACATTATAAAATCTGTCATATTGGTGTTATTTCTTGTGTCGTGGCAAACACGATGGTATTTTGAACAAAATTTTCAGTGTCTTATTAACGATGTTAGCATATGGTTTAAAAATTAACAGCAGCATAAAAACTACTGTGAATAAAATTTTTAAAATGCATGGAAATGTTAAAAATGAACCTACCAATAAGCCATAAAAATTTCAGAAAGATTGGCTCAGTGTTTTGTTTACAAATAAATTTTAAACTTCAGTGTTAGTGCAGAGTTTCTTAAAAACCGGTACTTTTTAGGATCTTTCAACTGTATAAATTTTTCTGGTAAACGGACATTTTTTTAATCGACACCACGTAAAATGTATTTAAACCAGCTTATATTTAATTTTTGTTTCAACAGAATCGGATAATTCATCTCAGTTTAGGCTCACACTCGAGTGCACATATTTATTTCCCCGACAAAGGTAATATAAAAACTTTTCATCACTCTGTTTTCAATATAGTTCAAAAGACAAAAACAAATAGTGATCATCTCACCTTTCCTGACATAAACATTACTTTCGATACACAAACATAAGTTACAACTGAAGTTCCCGGTTAACACAGTTTGTTGATGTTCAATTAGCTGAATTTTACACTAAAATTTATTGTACAACAATTAATGGATTACAAAATATCAGATATTTTTTTTAAAGTCTCATGAAGTAGTTCTTCCAGTGTGATAAAAGTATAGTTTATTACTAAATTTAAAAGTGACCTATTTGTGGCGAGATAAAGTTTAAAAGAGCATGGGAAACACATTGAGAAATACACTATAACTGTACTAAAAAATAAAAATTATATTCATTAAAAAAATATATAGGCCTATTCCACTTCAAGTTGAAAACGAGACCATCATACTTTTTCTCCACTTACCTCGAAGCACTTGTGACAGATGCTTTAATTATTGTTGTTTTGGGTACAAACTTGTGACAGATGCTTTAATTATTGTTGTTTTGGGTACAAACACAATAAACATTTTAATGCGTTTCCACCCTTTTCATTTTTTCAACTTTTTGAAATATGTCACTTAAGATTGGTCACTTGATATCACACTCGCCCACCATTATTATTAATGGACGCAAACAAATATTATTAATCTACTCCAACTTAATTAAAACTGTTCACCTTAACGGGTTATTTATTATGCATTTAATTTATTTACATTTTAGTTGAAGTTAAAGTAATATATTATTGTTATTTATTCCAATAGTTTATTTGTTATTGTTACTGTTGAATTTTTACAGATATTTGTGTCTTTGTTGTCTTTTTTTTGTTATTAATTACTCAAGAGACAATTAAGAACTCATAAAACTGCATGCTACTGATTCAAACTGACAAAAACTGTATGGTAAATAAGAAACAATATTTTTAGTGCAGACAAACCATTTGTGGTTTTTGCACTTTTGTATCCTATGTATTGGCAATTATTGTGTAAATAAATTTCTTGATTGATTGATTGGAAATACTTTCGCCTGACCAGAAAAGCTAACGATTTAAAACTAGCGAATATATTATCTATTCGTTGTCTACTAAACTAACTGAGTAGAAGTTATTTCCAGCTCTTTTTAAAAACTAACTAATAAAATAGAAGTTAGTAAAAAAAAACCAACGAATAGCGCTATTCGTTAGAATTTCTATTCTTTATTCCCAAGTATGCTGTTCACCCTGATCTCAATAGATTAAAGTTAGCTATAGAACAAACAATGAAACAAGCTGGGAATTGGTTAAGTGCCAACTATCTCCTTCTTACTTCTTAATGTAGATAATACACAACACCTAGTTTGCCACACAAAATACAAAGATTTGGGCTCAGGTGTAATTTGTAAAGAAGTTAGGCCCATAAAAGTCCTGGGTGTTTTGATTGACAGCAGCCTTTCTTGGTCAGCTCACATTGATTTAGTATGTACGTTTTGTACGTACTCTTGACAGTTTTTGTCAAGAGTTATTTATTTAGTGGATAGGTTAAAAACTGTTGTTTCTGAGAAATATATCCGAGTAGCCTATTTTGCATTTTTTCAGTCTGTGTTAAGCTATGTTCTGATTCTCTGGAGTAACGGTAGTAATATAAGTGATGTTTTGTTACTTCAGAAAAAGGCACTTAGAATAGTGACCAAATCAGCTATCAAAGCCCATTGTAGACCGTTTGTATTGATCAATGAAATTCACTTTTGTTTTTATGTCGTAATCCATAATATGTTTGGAAACAACAAATTGTATTTGTAAAGAAGGTTATTTGATTATATCGTTGCTTGCTTACTCCGCTCAATTGGCGGACCTGAGGCCACATACCTAGTAGAAAAAAACCCTAACATTACTGACTTACAAGCAATAATGAGACATAGCAGCCTAATACCTTAATACAAACTATTTATATAAAATACAAGCAGATGATTTCTGTGCAAAGAATGACAATAGTTTCTGATTGCTTGACAAGGTATGATAAATTCCCCAACAGTATAGTAAAACAACAACTTGCTGCACTTAAATACTGCATCATATATATTATTTACCTTCTTCTCCACTTGTATTTATCTGGATCATAATGTTGAGCCTTTCTTGGTCCTTTGGATCTTTTCTATCCCAAGCTTTGTCGAGTAAAGTTGCAAGCTTTTTTGAATCAACAGTTTCAACAACAAAAATTCCAGGAATAGAAACAATTTTGTTAACTTTGTTTGTTTGTAAGTTACCAATGAAATGCCATTTAATTTCCTTACATTTTTCTAAAAGCTGCAAACAAAAAAAGCAAGTTAAGTATTGGCATGTTAAGCACATTAGTTCTCCTTAAAAGTTCTACACACAAGTTTTATCAAATACCTACAGATTCTTTATAAAGACTAAAATATCCCCGCCGCAGCAAACCTGCAGACTAGGCAAATTTCCATTTGCCTAATTGGATTTACACTAAAATTTCTCTGTTACATATATATAAGCTTAATGTATTATATATAGTATATGTGATCATTGGTGATCTTGTGATCCAGTAGGCCTAGTTAAATGTCTTCATACAAATAAATCAGCTGTGACGATGCCTCCCACCTCGCCTAGATCACATGACCCCGACCCGTTTCCGTTCTTCCCTCTCTCAGCATCCACCCCTCTTGATTGCAACATCGTTGTCACAGTTTAGCAAAATGTAATCCGTTTATTTATTTACAATCCGACTACTTCCCTAGTTTAGATAGTGTCTCTGTTAAGGTACAATAGAGACACTACACTGGCGACGAGTGCAAAAAGATTTTATTGTGAAATGCGTGGTTTTACGGACAATATAAGTGTTCAATTGCTCCGCTAACCTAGGCCTAACACGTGGTAGATTTGGAAACCGTGGGACGGTTCTTCAAGAAGAAAGTAAACTTTGATGTCTACAATCGCCGGGGAGGAAGATTTGGACGTTTCAGTGTTATTTGAACAGGTTAGTGTCGTTCATAACACAAACACAATGCTAGGGAATGTCGGAGAGTTCGATGTTAGTCAGGAAACGTGGTCTTCTTACGTTGAACGTTTCGAATTGTTTTGTGACTGTAATAAAGTAGAAAATGAAAGGAAAGTTAGTACGTTTTTGACAGTTGTGGGTGTCAAAACTTATACTTTTTTGAGAAATTTGTGTACGCCGGATAAACCATCGTCAAAAGAGTTCAAGGATATTGTAAAAACTGTTCAGGATCACTTGTACCCTAAGCCATCTTTAATCGCAGAGAGGTTTAAATTTAGTAAAAGAAATCAGCTTGAACATGAGACTGTGTCGGAGTACATTGCAAGCCTGAAACGTTTATCAATCCATTGTGAGTTTGGTGCGTCATTAAATGACTATTTGCGTGACCGGCTAGTAAGTGGCATCAAAAGCGATTCAACCAAACAAAGACTGCTGGCGGAAGCGTCATTGACATACGACGAGGCCGTAAAGATCATTCTATCAGTGGAGACAGCAGAGAAGAATGCGTCGGTGCTGGGGTCCAATGCCAGTGGGGGTCAGCTACAACAGATGGCGGCGTCAAAGCGGTGGAGCGCCGGGGGCGGCTCGAGACAACGTCAACAGCAAGACAACAAAATGCACATCCAAAAACAGATCAAGTGCTTCAGTTGTGGGAATTTAGGGCATGTCTCTAAAGAATGCCAAAGTTCTGTGAAGTGTTTTTGTTGTGGGAAAACGGGACATGTTTTAAAAGAGTGTCGATTACGGGGTGTGTGTGCAACAGTTGTGGTAAGAAAAACCACATTTCTAAAGTTTGTAGATCCTCTGTGGGTAAGTCGAAACAAACTAATAACAATAGTCATAAGAGACAAATTAAACATAATTATGTATCAGGGGATCACTCTATTGAGGAGACTGAGCTCAATATTGATGAAAATTTGGATGGTATTGCTAATTTGTATGAAATTATGTCCACCAACCATAGTGTAGGCCTACCAAAGGTCCAAGTAATTTATTGTCTTTGAAGGTTGATCCAATAAAATTAGAAGTAAATATTGAGGGACAAACTGTAAACATGGAATGCGATACTGGTGCAGCAGTTAGTGTTTGTAACTTTGATTTTTACAAAGATAAATTAAGTAAGTTAGCTCTAGAACCATCTGATTTGTCTCTCAGCTCGTATACCAGTGAGCCTATCACACCTATGGGCAAAGTGTGTGTGTCAGTAGCTTATCAAGGGGTTAAGCGTAAACTAGATTTGTATGTGGTGAAAAAGGGTGCTCACCCGCTGATGGGGTGGGACTGGCTTAAATCATTAGGGGTTGAAATATCATTCAAGTCCCCTGAATTACTGGGAATAAGTAAACCTAACTTAAATACAGTAACTGATGATGAAACTTTTGTTGTAAATAGTGTAAATAAACTTGTTAAGGATTTTCCTGAAGTATTTACAGATGAATTAGGGTTGTACAAGGGTGATCCAATCAAACTTAAAGTAAAAGAAAATGCTCAACCAATGTATTGTAAACCTAGGCCTTTACCTTTTACCTTAAAGGCCAAGGTTGAAGCTGAACTGCAGCGTTTAGTAGACGCAGATGTTTTGAGCCCAGTTGATACTACTGAGTATGCGACGCCAATAGTAGCTGTTTTAAAAAAATGTGGTTCTGTTCGCATTTGTGGTGATTATCGGGCACTAAATAAAGATCTAGAGTTAGAACGGTACCCATTGCCTAAAATAGAGGAGTTGTTTACTGAATTGCAAAAGGGTGAAAGATATAGTAAAATAGACCTAAGCCAGGCCTATATGCAACTTAAGCTAGACGAGTCATCGCAAAAATTGTGTACTATTTCTACCCATAAGGGACTCTTTTCTTATAAAAGGTTGCCGTACGGCGTGAATAGTGGTCCAAGTATTTTTCAAAAAATAATTGATCAAACCTTACAAGGTTTAGAAGGTGTTGTAACGTACCTTGACGACATACTTATATCGGCACCTGATAACGAGACCCATGTAAATAGATTGAGGGAAGTATGTAAACGCCTTTCCTTAAACGGTTTCACAATTAAGAGGGAAAAGTGTGACTTTTTCGCTAAAAAGTTAGAGTACTTGGGGTTTGTGTTGGATAAAAATGGTTTATATCCGAGTAAAGCTAAGGATGAAGCTATCGTTGAAGCGCCCGTGCCGCAAAATGTTACGCAAGTTAAAGCCTTCGCAGGGCTAGTACAGTATTATGGTAAATTCGTGCCTAATTTGAGTGGGACTTTGAGTCCATTATACAACCTGTTGAGGAAGGACGTTCCTTTTAATTTTGACAAAGCATGTTTGGATGCCTTTAATAAAGTCAAAGAGTTGCTATCAACAGCGCCAGTTCTGGCACACTATGATCCCTGTTTACCCGTAGTCTTGACTGTTGACGCAAGTTCTACAGGGTTGGGATGTGTATTAAGTATAATAGATTCTTCAGGCATTGAACGCCCAGTCTCTTATAGTAGCCGTACGCTTAATTCAGCAGAGCGTAATTACTCCCAAATAGATAAGGAGGCTACAGCCGTAGTTTTTGGAGTAAAGAAATATCACCAATATTTGTACGGTAGGCATTTTACCCTCAAATGTGATCATAAGCCTTTGTTAAGTATTTTTGGAAGTAAAAAGGGAATCCCTGTGTTTGCTGCAGGCCGACTGCAACGGTATGCATTGTTCTTGACTGGCTACACATTTGATATTATATATGTCAAGTCTGATGAAAATAGCGCTGACGCTCTGTCACGCTTGCCGCTAAATGTAAAACACAAAGATTCATCAGAAGATGAATTAGCATGGTTAGGGACGTACTTGCACTGTGTAATGGAAAGTTCAGTTCCTCTCAATTGTGAAGTTGTCAAAACGGAAACTCAAAAAGATCCACTCTTAAGAAAAGTATTTAATTATGTTATGAATGGTTGGCCAAATTTTTTAGAAGGAGACGATAGGGAATTACAAGCGTTCTATCAAAGACGGGATGAGCTAACAATTGAATGTGGCGTTATCATGTGGGGGTATCGAGTTGTTGTGCCTAAGTCCCTGCAGGAGTTTATTTTAAGAGACCTTCACGTCTCACACATGGGTATTGTAAAAATGAAAGGTGTTGCCCGCAGTTATATTTATTGGCCGGGTATTGATTCGGATATAGAGCGTCTTGCAAACAGTTGCTCATCCTGCCTTTTAGAGCGACCTAGTCCAGCAAAAGCAGAATTACATGTGTGGCACTATCCTAGTAGACCATGGGAGCGTCTTCATGTAGATTATCTTGGTCCGTTTAAAGGGAAAATGTACCTAATAATTGTTGATGCTCACTCGAAGTGGCTTGAGGTTTTTGAAACCGCCTCAACTTCTGCCCATCTGGCTATTGACAATTTAAGATCTTTATTTGAACGGTTTGGTTTACCGTTAGCGATTCACAGTGATAACGGTCCCCCATTTAATTCTGCTGAATTTCAAAAGTTTCTTACAAGTAATGGAATACGTCATACAACAAGTGCTCCATATCATCCTCAGTCAAATGGCCAGGCTGAGAATTCAGTAAAGTATGTAAAAACTAAACTGCGCAGTGCTCTTAGAAACAATGTAAATACATCGTTAGCTTTAAGTAGGATGCTTTTTGATTATCGTAATTCAATACATGCAACCACTAATGAAACACCATCTAAATTGATGTTTGGTAGAAATCTTAGAACTAGGTTTGACTTACTGAGACCTAATCTCAGCGAAAAAGTAGCTAAAAAGCAAGAGAAACAAAAGTATTACTTTAAGGGTAAAAGCACTAGATATTTGTACATAAATCAAGCTGTCTTAGTAAAGGATTATCGTTCAGGTAATAATAAATGGGTTGAGGGGGTGGTAATTAAAGCAATCAGTGATGTTATGTATATAGTAAAATTAGCCTCAGGAGTCTTATGGAAGAGACATATCGATCAGTTAGTTCCAATTGACACAGGTGAATCAGATGTAAATAAGCAGACTAGTAGTGTCAAAGAACAGCTGACAGTTGAGCGACCGTGTCAATCAGCTGATGAGGCAGCCATGTATCCTGCCACCCCTACCACCACTCCTAGTACCTCTCCCGTCACTCCACACACTATAAGACCTCATGACGTCACATCCTCTCACGTTACACCTCATTCCAGATTTTGAACCTGTCTATTCCCCAGTTACAAATGCCAAATCTCCAGCTGGTCTTGTAAACAAGAGCCTCCCTTCGCCTTGTTTAGTCAGGCGTTCACAACCAGAACGCAAGCCAATTGATAGGCTTAACTTGTAGTTATTTAACTATGTTAT